TAGAAAGAGGAAACTGGCGCAGTGAAAAAACCTTTAAAAATTCTATTGTTGTCCAGTTATTTTAGAAAATAAGGATAAATCTGATTTGTTATCTTCTAATTTTTGTCCAGCTTAATTTAATTATTTTATAAGTTCCTATAATTTTATTAAGTTTTTGTTCTAAATATATTTTCATACTGTCAGATTTAATAGGAGTGTTGCGAAGCTCAATATTAATATACTTTTGGTAATTTTGATTTTAGATTATAAATTAGCTAGAATGGTAACTCAGAGATATAATTTGAGTTTAATTAAAAGTAATTGTAATTTTTCATAGTTACATAATTTTGTCCTAAGATGTTCTTAAAAATTGTTATAACCATAACCCATTTGAAGGTTTTAATTATTAAATCGTTTTCAGAATAATCGCATAGCATTTGTGTTTACATTTCATGATTTCACCAGCAGATAACAAACACGTCTTCACCTAAACACTGTGTGTTTTAGAAAGACACATAACATAAGTGTTTTGCATTACTACAAAACATGTATTAGGTGTTGGACAAAACACATAGCGTTGCAGTATAAAACTTGCTGGTGGTGAAGACGCTATGACCATAAAGATACTTGACAGTGACAGCGCGCAAAGCAGACGCCCTAGCTAGTGAGTGATTGGACGAAAGTGATAGACCATAGATAATCTGGTAAGGTATTTATGCATTTTATTAGTTTAAAAGAGACGAGGTTCACAGACAGCTTCTTCACCTAAACACTGTGTGTTTTGTCCAACACATAATACATGTTTTGTTGTAATGCAAAACACATATTTTGGAATTCATGTTTTTGAATTTCGTTGTCGAGTTTGTTGAGTTGAGTTGAGTGCATTGTCCTCCTCTTCCAGGTCTACGTTGGGTTGAGCGAAATTGTTCACTGTTTATGTTTCAAATAGAGCTTTTGTTTTTTTTTTTTGTTTTAAAGGACTGCAGACATTATGTCGCTATCTAGTAAAAAGTGTTGTGTTCCTGGTTATATGGATTCAGGAAGTTTCTTAATTATTATTAAGTTTTAGCATTCAGACAAAAATATAATTCACATGGTTTAGAAAAGATGCATGTAGCTGCCTGCATAGCATTACTCGAAGGTTTGTTGACGGAGAGTAGACAAATACTAGATTTGGACACTCCGTACAGTGTCCGAACGAGAACAAATTTAGGCAAAATTAAGCAATACTGTCATTTTGTCTAATTTTCTGTTAAAAAGCTCTTGTCTACGCGATTGCCATACTACTCATTTTGATCAGAGTATCATCTTATAACTAGAATAAGTGTATAAAATAGTGATCCAAAATATTGAACTAGGTCCCTATATAATTTTATACAGGTGAAAGTGATAGGGTTTCAATCCAATCTTTTGGTCTGAGACCAGTAAATTTTGGAGGTCCTTGGACCACACTCTGATAAGGTCAACCATGTAACTTCAATAAGAGTTAATAATTTAAATTAACATATTGTGTTTATTTCTGTTCAGGTATGCAGATGACTGCATTTATTTCCAAATCCAGAGAAAGACAGACTACGTTTTAATATATGGGTCCATTCTACTGGAGGTGATATTATTGGGATGGACTTTTGATGACATGTACAAACACCGCCATGCGTGTCGTGCACACTTTGAAGAAAAGTTTTGTTGCCGCTATGGTAGATTGAGTAATATTGCTACGACAACAATAAACCTGTCAGGTTAGTATTAGCATCTTATGTACTATGTGTGTTTTATATTAATACAATATTATATATGTTCCTTGATTTCACGGGCAATCTCTAGCTCTTTAACCCTAGGCATTAATGGAACCGTAGCCACCACTAGGAGCCCTTTTAAATAATGAAACAAATAATTCAAATGTATGACTTATGAATGAAGAAAACTATTGTAAATAAAAAGGGAACGAACGAGATAAAATAAATATATAAAAGATTCCTTGCCCTAAAACCCTTTCAGAAATGAGCGGAGGCCTGTGCCCAGCAGTGGAACGTATATAGGCTGTAACTTTACTTTTTATATACTTTCTATTTCAGATTTGCATTTGGTGCCATGGCTACATCCAACACTTATGCTTGAAAGAAAACATAGGTATGTTCTATATAAATTTTCTGGAATGTACTATTTTTATTACAAAAAGGGGATTGCCCACTCTTCATAGACACTTCGGCCATGGGTGCCCACATATAAAAGCATATAGATATGATAATATGCAATTAAAACAATGAAATGGTTAAGGAATTGCTTTAAAAAAAAGTCGGGGTTTTGAAGATATATAAGTTTTTATTTTCACAAATGCAGTTTTTTTAACAACTATTTTTATCGATTTTATCGCGTTTTATTTCTTTGATTTTTAATTCCAGACGTTTCGGGTGCTTTCCAACACCCATGGTTACGGCGGACTGAGGTGACTGACGTCCCAATGTCAGTGTTAACCCGGAGTACCTTCAGATTTTAAATTTTTATTTATGGTCCGATCTACAGAATGAACTTACTGTGTCTTGAAGTCTTGCAATGGTATGCTTGGGTTTAATTTTAATTTCATTAATTACAGGGTCTTAAGCAGGTGGTAGTACCAAGTCCTTTCAATAGAGATTGAAAAAATTTTTTTTATTTCAATAGTCTCAGGTATCGGTCCTTGATAGGAATTAATGTACCTTTTAGAGGATTTGTGGTCTATCAAATCTTTTTTATACGTCTATCTGGTTGGGGCCGTCCAGGATATGATCACAAACTGCAAACTTCCCTGAACCTTGATGCTTCATGTCAGCTCGCTTCAAGATGTAGCCAATCTTGTCTGTGACACCCCTGACAAATGCTAGTACTGCACATGCTTGACTGTGGCCGGCTTCACTCTAGGCCTGAAGCTTGTTGACGTGTAGAACCTGCTTGACGTGCTGAAGCTCGACGGCTCGATGTTTGCTGCCACAGATCCCTTGTGCTCTCTGTAACAAAGATTTGCTCACGGTAACTAACTGTGAAGGATAATGGCGAAATTCATTGTTTTCTATACACAGTGTGACCTATGGTGTTGTTAGAATTTTGGATGACTAACGCATCTAGGTAAGGTAAAGCTAAGGAATTATTTGCCTCTAATTTACACATCAATACATCATTCAGGAACTGAGCAGGAAGCAAAATATTAGTCTGATGCCGTGCCCAACCCAAATACCATATTACTGTCATAACATGGGCACAGCATCCAACAGTTCGACGGCCGACAGTACTTTTTAATTGCACTTCTACCAGAACCATTGCCACTAATAAAAAAATATATAAAATACACTTTACGACTAATGGTGATGACTTGCAATTCTAGCCCTAAGTAAAGATCAGCTAGGGCTTAAGTTTATTCCTTCCATAATGCTGCTCCTCTGGTTATCACAGAGTTCTATCCGGTAGCAACCATTAAGTCTTATATGCTCACCATAATAGTAGCGAGCTTGCTTTAATTGGTATGTGACACAGGCAATTAATATTAAGTCGCTGTAAGTTAAAACAGGAAATTCCCTAACATTTTAAAGTCTACATTTATATTTCTAAAGTCTGCCTGCCCTAGCTCTATTTAGATTGCTTTCCCTAGCATACTCAGACAAATCATTATTTGTCTCCATATTTTGGTGAACTATTTCAAGTATTTGAGCTGCATCATCCCTGTCCCTTATTTTTGCGTGGAATTTATTAATTATAGCAGCAGCCATAGCAGTCTATCATCAAATGTGTAGAAGCCCTGTTATATTAATTTTGATGAAATATTTTAAATTCAGTTTAAAAAAAAAAAAACAAATTAAGCAAGTATAAAACAAAGTTAAAAAGCTGTCTGCAAGTCTCAAGGCAGTGAAAAAAACTGACTCCTAATTCTGCATTTATAAAAGCCATTGATAAGTTGTCCAGCACAGCTAAGATATTGACTTTACTGCAGTTCAGGGAAATTAAAAAGAAGTACAAAGGTCGACGAGGAATAAGATGTAGCTTTGTCGATTTTAAAACAAAGTCCAAAGTGCTATAGATTTTTAAGAAAAATATTCATCTTACCAACTTTACAAACTCTCACAAAATTTTTAAACCATGGAAATGTAAAGCCAGGAATAAATAAAAGAATATTTGCTCAGATCAAAAAAGCTACAGAAAAGTTTAAAGTTGAAGAGAGACTGTGCATAGTTTTATTCGAAGAAATGATATTGAAATCCAATGTAACTTATTACTACTATACTATAATGAGCGAAAAGATAGGGTAATTGGTTTCGCCATTGATGGCCGGAAAACTAGATCTGACTATGCTGATCATGCACAAGTGTTCATGATACGGGGATTGATAAAAATTATAAACAACCCGTATCATATACATTTTCTGCAGGAGCAACAAGTGGACCGGAATAAGCAGTGCAACTCAAAGAAGTAATTAAAGAATTACAAGAGGCTGGGATAATTGTAATAGCATCAGTGTTTAATCAAGGCACCAATAATAGGCATGCCATTAAACTTTTAATACAGGACACAAGAGGGATTTTTATATAGTCTGGACGTGAGCCTATAGAGAATATGTTTCTTGTCAATGATCAGGAAGTCATTCCACTATTTGACCCTCCCCATCTAATAAAATGCACTCGTAATAATTTAATTTTTTTATAGGAAAAGGGTGACAAGCGAGTACACAGTCCACCTGATGGTAAGTGGTTGTGTGGCCCATAGACATCTACATCTATCCTCGTTTGCGAATCAAAATGCAGATGCGTTGTCAGCCTTAAGGACTAAGATGGAATGCCTCTTTTCCAGTAAAAAGGGTCTCCGGTTCTCTACACTCACCATATGAAACACAGCAGCATTAAGCTGCTATTTGACGCTGGTATTCTGTGAGAGCGTGGTCCTTCCCCGGTCGAGCCGACCCATTCGTGCTATAACTATACAATTAATATAGCTGCAGCATGGCTCTACCACGAATAATAACGAAAAACCTAACATATATAGCAAGTGATCAGCAAATGCGAAAAGCAAAATGGCACCATATTGAATTGCTACTCAAAGAAAACCCTGGATACAAAGGTTTGATTGCTTACAGACAATCATGTCATACCAAATAAAATTTCCAAAATTAAGGTCAAATATGTCACACAAATCTTCACTCAAACAGTAGCATCCAATATGGAATATTTAGAAGGTAAAATGAAGTAACTTTATACATAAATTACTCATCATGTATTAAGAACTTTTAATGTTGTGAGTAAAGGTAACATTTAGATTAGGGCAGTCATAGCCCGACAGGCAAAGCATTCTGTCTGAACCATTGTCTAATGTTGCTCCAATGGTATATAATTTATTTAATATTTTGTGTTAATAATTTAAGAAAATGTAGTGTGTTATTTAGTTATAAGGTACAATGTGACTGACATCTTAAAAATAACTTAAGTCCCTAAATAAAAAAGAATTAAAAAAAAACCACGGCCGTGACTGCGATAGTTGGCCGTGGTATTTGGAAGAGCCTGCTAAGATCCGAATTCACTTCTATCTATTCTACACAAACTTTTCATATAATTTTGTCAAATGTTGTACCCATCTTGAGTTTAGATAGATACATAATACTTCTCAAGCTGCAAATAGTATTTACATTTTTTTAATAAAACGAATATTAACAACGCTATAAACATTACTAATGCTGTCTACACACCAAAGCCGCCGGCCCGGCTTCACGAACCCGGCGGGCAAGGCCGGCGGCCTGATTTTGAAACGACCAAAGCCGCCGGCTCGGCGGCATACGCCAGCGCGCGTCACGCCCGGCGCTCCCCGGTCCCTGCTCAGTTGCCCGCCGACTTTCGAGGAGTAGTGACGTGCGTGACTGTGTTTTTTTTATCAACTAAAACAATATGAAATGGGAAGACGAAAAAGTGATAAAACTAATAGAACTCTATCGTTCAAAATGTTACGAGGTTGAGGTTCGTGACAATAAAAATTGCCGATAGAATTACCTAAATTAACACTTTAATTCACTTTACACAGTTTAAAACTTAAAACACTAATAATTAATCACACTGATTCACTTTATTTCGCTCCGAAGCTTCGCTTGTCTCGCCGAATTCAATACTTCCCCGATCGAACCTTACACCGCCGTCTGAAATCCGACCCTGACATCCCACATTAGCGTAAAAAAATTGTAATCAGCATCTACTACAGCAAAAATCACAATACTGAAATAATGTTTATAGTTATAGTATTCATTGCCACTCCTTGGAGGACATTTCAATTTTACGTGTTTCCCGTCCATTGATCCAAGACAATTAGGTACTTGCCATCTTTTAAAATATGCATCTGCAATGTTTTTCCATTCTTCCGGTGTCCTTGGTAGCTAGAATAAATAAAAAAGTGGAATAATCCAGATTAACGCCCCGGCCACATCTGGACGGCACGACGGTCGTGTCGGTGGCCGACACGGCGTCCTGTCGCTTGAACTGTTCGGACTAGTGGCAAATATTTCAAAATATGGATTACAAGACACGTATTATTCTCCTCTTGCTAATGTTGAAAAGGCGCAAAGAAAGACAAAGGGAATATATATTCTTATTCTTTATTTGTCTTGTAATCCATATTTTGAAATATTTGCCACTAGTCCGAACGGTCCAAGCGACAGTGATCGACTCAACATACAAAACGACGATCCAAATACCTGGACTGGCAGCTTTGCCAGCGTCGGTACCGGCACCGACGCCGTGTCGGCCACCGACACGATCGTCGCGTCGTCCAGATGTGGCCGGGGCCATATGTACATTTTATAAAACATTTTCGTAACGGCTATTTACTTATATAATCTGATAATCCTTCAACCAAAGCGTGACATACTTCAGGAATAATGCTTGAAATTAGTTGAGGAGAAACTTTGAAGACGTCGCAAAGACTATTAAATGAATTTCCCGAGCTGAGATATTTTAACGTTATTGACAATCGGTCTACTGGTGAAATTGCTTTTCTGTAATTAGTGTCTTGGTTAGATATTCTGTGTCCAACGATATTCAGTAAATATTCAAATTGGGAACTGGTTAATGACATAAATGTTTTGAAAGAAACGGGTTTTTGTAAAACCATGTCGTCTTTTTTTAAATCACTTAATCTTTCACTAGTACTATAACAACTGCGACTCATTAAGCTTGGCCTGACCCAACAATTCCGCGTTTTGAGGGTTCTACCTATAATAACAGCACAAGCTGCTAAAATTAGATCACTATCGTCCTCGTCCATGTCAAATATTGAAAATACTCGTACGTAGTAATAATTCGAAACACACGCGCAACTTTTCCGATCATTCGGCAATCACTAATTATGAACGATGCCGCGAATATCTTGCCGCCCCGGCGGCATGTTCGTGGTTGCTTTGTAGAAGCCGCCGGGTTTACCCGCCGGCATTAACCCGCCGGGTTCGTGCCGCCGGGCCAGCGGCTTTGGTGTGTAGACAGCATAATATTCCCCTTAAACACTCGTGGTAAGCTTAAATTGCTTGTGTGGTTTACGCCAGTAGTCGAATGGCAGATTCGAACCCGCAACCTTTTTGCGGTCCAATTTATTAAAAAAAAAAGTATTTACATTCGAAATTATGTTGCTAAGGCATTTTTTTCCACATACAAAGGAATTCTCCCCGAAGAATGTAAAGAGACAGCTAGTGTTCTCTTTTTTTTTTTTGATCAACTGTTTTATTCCTTAAACGGGAGTTATACAAAGCGAAAACGACATGGAAAACCATTACTAGGACCTGCAAAACCAAATTCTTGTCATAATAATGTATGGAATAAGGCTAAAATAGAATTAGAAAATATGAAATTTACTAACATTGTAACAGGTGAAGTTGAGAAAGTCCCTACTTTAGAAAATTGGGTATGGACACTAGGTGGTGTTCAAATGCTTTTTAAAAAATTAAAAAATGATTATGGCGTAATTTCTGTTTGGAACCACGTGCTCGACGGTGAAGGAAAACATCGTGAGAAAACCTGCATGTCAGTGAAATAAAAAAATATTTCGAAGACATGTGAAGTTCGCCAACACGCATTGGGGCAGCGCGGCGGACAATTCCTTGCCCTAAAACCCTCTCAGAAATGAGTGGAGGCCTGTGCCCAGCAGTGGGACGTATATAGGCTGTAACTTTACTTTTTTACTTTACTGTTTGGATGCGGCACCTAAACCAAGACCCCATAAAAAACTTTTTCGGGGCTATTAGAAGCCATGGGTGCCGCAACACAAAGCCCACAACAGAAAGGTTTGAAAGTGCCTAAACTAGCTTATTAATAAATAACATATCTAGTCTTTAAGGGTGTTAAGGGGAATATTAGTAATGTTTATAGCATTCTTAATATTGTTAAAAAAAAGTGTCCATGCCCCTGGGGCAAATCCTGAAAAAGACTATTGTGAAGTTTTATACACCCTCATGATAGATGACTGCCAAGCCACGGTGACCAGTGAAATTGAGAGCATATCCACAGTGCAAGTAACTGACCTAAGTCAAATTAAAAATGATCCCCGAGTGTTAGGCGCTCTACAATACGTGAGTGGATATTTTGTACACAGTGCTAGGAAGAAAATATTTAAAAATTGCCAGCAATACGCTAAGGAAATGGTTGCTTCTCAAGAAAATGAATATATTAAATGCCGAGAACATGCTGGCAGACGTTGTCTTGTCAGTCCTTCCGAATCTCTTCTCACTTGCATATCTGCAATGCAAGACATTACCAACGAAATTTTAAAATGTCATTTATATTATGAAAATCTAAAAGAATTCATAAAAACGATATTATTTCTACATATAGAATTTGCTTTTTTAAATTGTGGTCACCACAAGACAAAATTATATAATTTATCTTGCAGATTTTTCATAAACAATTACTGTAATGATATAAACAAAAAATATTAAAAGGGAAGAGAGACTGAGGATGTATTTCAAATAAAGGCGAAAAAATACTTCCATGAGTGTTTCAAAAGACGAATTAAATGATTAATTTAAAAACATTGTGGTTTTTTGTAAAGGACAATGTATAAAATCCGCTTAAGGACGGTTGGGAATATTAATTAGTCAGTAATTATAGTTTTATTTTATAACGTTTAAAACGTTCATTAGAATCCCACGGACACTTAAAGTTCACAAAGAATAAATAATTAGTTGACTGATTGGATTGTCACGTATATTCCGTTTATCTCATGTTTATTATCTAGACTTGGTGTTACCAGGTTTTTCCAATAAAAAATGTCAGGGTTCTGTTCGATACTAAAAATAAAGACATGGCTAAAAGGACTAGATTCCAAGCCATACAAAAAAAAACTGACATGTGACAAACATCTGTCAAAAGGTTTGATACATATGCTATCGCGCTCTCTGCGTTGCAACTTATTTTTCGTTTTTCGCTACTCATTTATTTTATATTTTGGTTTATTTCTAACGACTTTGGCTTTACTTCGGACTTTGATTGGATTGCACTTCTGGTTGACCTGGCTGTGATAAATGGACTCTGTGAAATCTAACGAATTGGCTTTGTTTGCGGACATGGATCTGCAAAATCAGTTTTGTGTGAATTGTGGATCTGCTGGAGGTTCTATGCTGTTAAACAACGAAGAAATTATTCGTTGTATACGTCAATGGACTGCTCCACGAGTGGTAGTTTATTAAAAACATTTTATTACTACTTACTCAAATTAATTTTATTTGAGCTATAAACTCATATGATGATATTTCTCTGTCGTACATAATTTATAAGTAAAACTAATAAGAAGAAAGAAACTAATAATGTTTTAATACTTTGTAGATTGAAGCTCATGACCTTATCTGCACAGTCTGTTGGTCAGAAGCAGTAAAGAAAACTGAATGTCAGTGCAGTGTTGGGCAGAACTGTGCGCTGTGTAAAAACCTTTTACTGAAGCGTTCACACCAAATTGTAGGCTTAAGAACTGATACTGCTCATCACAAAAATACAAAAAGTGTAACTCTGGAAAGACTCATTCCACTGGAAGTAAGTAAATAAAATGATAACAATGATTAACCCAACATGTTTATTATTTGATTTTTATTTATTAATACTTCTTTGCAGGTTCGGGCATCACATTTTATTTGTCATCCATGCTGGCAAAAGGCAGATCGTGTGGCAAAAAATTATTGTCAACTATCCTCATTAAGAAATGCTGAAGAAAATGTTTTTAAATGTGTTAACTGTGGCATTAATTTAACTAGAATACAACGGCACATTTTACACAACGAAGTTTTACTTGGCTTAGTACAGCAACGTGTTGCACCACAAGTCGTAAGTTTTTAATAATTTACTGTCTGAATTTTAAGCTTACTACCAATAAAGGACAGTACCTTGTGTATTTTATAATCGGAATAGCTTAAATGTTAGTCAACTTTTCAGTCACACATTACCCTGGCAATTTTTTTTAATATTATTTTTAATTACAGGTAACTGCTAATGACTATATCTGTCATGACTGCCATATGATATTAAGTCAGAAGGCTGGCACTGAAGCTTCCCCTGCATTCTCTCTGGAACATGAAACTGAACCCTCTGTGGGTCATCAACGTGTTTGTGTAAAATGTGGATGCTCTTTATTGCAACAGCACAGCCACACAATAGAAAAAGCTATGACTCATCGTATCCTACATATTATTCAAAATTGGATTCACCCAAGGGAGGTAACATATCAAAATTAATTATATTTTATACTAGCATTTGTTATTGTCTAAAAATGGGCACCAAATGAATGTGTATGTCGGTTTCACATTAAGTTTTTTTTACATTAAGTTCCGAATAGCCTGTGCATATTTTAATTCAAATTAATATAAGTTTTATTGATTATCATTACAACATTAAGACATATGTATGATTGTCTCATAAATATCCTATATTCTTTCTTTCAACTTGTTAATTTCTGTACGTTATTCCTAGGTGCAACCATCAGACATAATTTGTGACGGATGCTTCCGAAGAGCTAGAACAAGAGCAGGAGCACAATTGGCTGAGGAAAATTATGATTCAAGTAATCAATTACAAGCAGCTGAAAGTGCTGAAAGAGTTGAAAGAACTGAAACAATCACGTTACCCCACTATTGCAGAGCACCAGGTACACGTTCTAGGTGCATTTTTCCAAACTGTAATAATACCTCACAGCATGTGGTCCCATTGCCTGTAAGAGTGCAACTGTTAAACGATTATAAATATTATATCCCACAAGACTGCCGAATTTGTCAATTTCATTTGTACGCAGAACCATGGACAACCCTTGTTGAAAATGAAAACCAGAACCATAGTTTTACTGCTGCTTATATAGAAGATTTCTGTGAACTGATGAAGTGTAATGGTAACATCATTGATTTTGAAAATATTGACCAAATTAATGATAATGCATTTTGGTATTGGACTGGGCGCACAAAAGACCAATTTCGTGAAATTGAATATAGTTTACCATTCTTTAAAAAACGGTCTATTGCCCTTGGAGCATATTTGATTAAATTAAGAACTGGAGACAGTGACAAAAGAATTTCCAAATTATTAACCATTTCTAGAAGTACGTTAACGAAACTAGTAAACAAAGCAAGAACATTCATGGAACGTCACTTTGTGCCAGCACAACTGGGCTTAGGCCATATTACGAGAATGGAAGTGGCTGCTAAAAATCAGTACATACCTGAATCTTTATTTGGGAATCCTGGAAGTAATGTTGAAGACCGAAAAGCAATTGTAATTATGGACGGTACATATATTTATGTTCAAAAATGTAGCAATTATAAATATCAAAAAGATACTTATTCGTTATAGATAAGTTCAGAAACTTGGTAAAGCCGTTCCTTGTAGATCATGCGATGGCCATATAATTGATGTACTGGGACCGTATCCTGCCACAAAATCAGACGCAGATATTTTAAAGGATGAATTCATTGACCCCTCCAAACCCATGCGACAATATTTTAGAGAGGGAGATGTTATGATTTTAGACAGAGGCTTTCGAGACACTATTCCTTTACTCCAAAGTTTAAATTATGAAGTCCATTATCCACTTACTTTACAACAGAGTCAAACTCAAATGACTACACAAGACGCGAATGAATGTCTCCAAGTCACTCTATGTCGTTTGGTTGTGGAGGTGGTTAACGGAAGATTTAAAAGAGATTTTAAGCTGCTGCGACAAGAATATTTTAATAAAGCATCACAGCATTTAATGGTTGATTTTAAAGTCGCAGCAGCTTTAATCAATAAATTCCATCCTCTTTTGGAAGATCGGGATGATGCTACAATCATTGTATCTATAATTCAAGAAAGATTATTTTCAAATAATATTCTAGCTGATTATGTGGACAGAAACAACCTAAATAGAAGACAGGCCCAATTTGAAAATATAACTATAACTGCAAATAACTTTCAAGATTTCCCACGAATGGAAACGAATGATCTAATTTTAATATCGTTGGGAATTTAACAAATTAAACAGGCCCGCTCTTACTACGGGGAACATGTCCGTAGAGACGGCAATTATGTAATTGAAGTGTGCAGGGGAGTTGGGCAAGACCTGTTAGATATTTTCGCAGAAAGAAATAATATAAACATTTGGCTCTTACGAGGGAGAATTCAGAGTAGACACATCAGCCGAAAAATATATTTTGTGTATATTTTAATTGATAGTGGACACATTGGCAGGGAGGCAGTCATCCAATATTGTTGGGCGCAGAACAATAGGTTACTGCGCCCATGTTATGACCATAATATGGTATTTAAGTTGGGCGAGATACCAAGAACGTCTTGACCCCCCTGCACAATTTCTAGATAGTAAATAATTATTGATAAGTACATTGATGAATAAATAAAAATTCACTGAATACATGTGTTTATTTTATTACCCTTGGTAGAAACATTTTTTTAAAGTACAACACGAGTAAAGATTTTTAAGTCTAGGCCGTTAAATGGCTTAGTTACTGTTTGGTCTTGGTATACCACACACCTGATCGTGTTTAAATCATTCATCATCTGATGATGAATGATTTAACACGATCTTGAGAAAAACAATGATTTATTACGATTTCACAATACACAAAACTTGGTAAAAATATAAGATTGAGTCACGCGACCGTGTTGGTAGGTAAACACAAACACACTACAAAATAAAATATTAATGAATGAGGTCAGTCGCGCATAGTGTCAAATTACTAAAATGCTGACGCGGGAGAATGCACGGTGTTGCACCGTACATACTCCGGGCCGCCAGATGAAGGCGGGATGCTGATCATGATTGCTTGAAAAAAGATATATGAGTTGCTATGGGCGACGTAGACCTGTTTACAATTCGAACACTGTCTAGTTTATTGGTAACAGGATCACTACGATTGGTCGTTTCTTCTTCACAAATGCTGTTTCGTACGGAGGAGAGGCGAACCGCGGTGCGGTCCTCCGCCGGGGGCACTGCCGGAGAGTTGGCTCTTGTAAACCGTGTTTGCCGCATTCGCCGCCACGCCAGGCCAGCACCCACGATAATTGCTGCTCCGATCATAATGTAGATGAGAGCATAATGATGCACATCATGATGTGATACATCACTTGTCAACACCGCCTGCTCTTTCAAATCTTTTAGCCGTTTTTCTAAATCCGAAAATTGTTTTTGGCGGTCATTTATGGTTTCATCTACTATAGACGACATCGGGATCGATGCGTTGATGATATTGTTTATCGGACTGAAGTCTTCAACCTTGATGTCTGGGCTCGTCTTGATAACGCTGCGGTCAAGGTTACGAGCGTGCACCGTAAATAGGTCGGACTTGACAATGCACCCGTGTGAAATGCTGCCGATGCCGGCGCGCTCCAGCTGTGGCGCGGTCACCTGATCCACATCACCGCGCACATCACTCGTAACTGACACCTCTTACAACAAAAGTATAAGTACTTGTTTATATTGTTTAATTCAGTCCATTTGTAATTGCAGGAGTCCACAACAGTTTTACACTGCTGTTTAATATTATCGAAGTCACAGAATTTCTCGTCTTGTGAGAGATGGTAAACTGGTTTCTTTAAGTGACATAAATACGAGTTAGCTTGCTGACTGTATGATGAAATTTCATCTATATCCATCACAATGTACGCATCCTTTGCTAGGTTAATGGCCACGTATTCCGATATTGGTATCGTGGTAACCATCTTGCTGTTATTAATCTTGGTCGGTACTGGAATAAGATGAAATATTTCGAAGGAATCTCTACTGATGAGCGGCACCTTTATCTCGAACAGCAGGTAATCTTCACATATTCTGGCCGTTATTGTTAAAAGTTGATAATACTTTGAAGGCTTGCTTGTATGTTTTCGATTGGTAAGGCCAGCTCCTTCGATATTTGGCTTGCTATGACACCGAGTTCATTTCTAAGCTGTTCTGGAGATAATAGATGGAAATTAAATCTCCCGTGATAAATATCTGTGATCGTGTCTAGCAATGATTCTTGCACGCTTCGTAGTCCCTGTATCATATTGCTTGCAGCTACGGCTGCCAAAGTTAATTGATTCACTTGAAACATGTTAACAACCTCTGAGTTTAATATGTTCACGGCCCTTTCTATATTTAGCATCTGTTTTTTTATTAACTTATGCTGCTTGTTCATAGCTTCTTCACTCCTTTTAAGTAAGTTATACTCCGCCTCGACATAGAGGTTTGATTTCGCCACAAGTTTGCCACATGCTGCTGATTATCACGGATGAACGTTATGTCTTTTTGGTATTTTTGAGCAAAATTCTCGTCTAAAATTCCAAATAATGAGTTCGCGATACTGCCGACTCCGTTGATCAGTCTTGTCAGGATGTTCGGGAATGTTGTGTCATCAAAATAGTATTATAATGCTGGAACTCGGAGTAACTATGACGTAGTTGCCACAGTATAATGTTACATTGGGCTTCTTGTAATTTATCGCATGTTTCTTGCAAGTAATTGGAATATTGTTCAAAGGTCTTCATCCCTTGCCAGTAGGGGCTCATGTCATAATAGACGACCATGGTCCATTCGTCTCTATTTACTTGCATGTCAGAGACTTTGTCAAAATATATTCCTTGGTTCGACTTCAGAGGTGTGTTAATAAAAGAACATGATGATGTGATAAGTATGCTCATGAAAAATAGCATAGCCAACGCAAGCGACGAGAAATGAACTTGAGGTTTCTTAACAGATTGAGGCGCTCTTGTTTGTTGATCGTTCTTGATTGATGATGGTTTGTTTGTGTTATTATCGCTGCCATCTGACTCTTGATTTACAGGTAGTAGCGATAATTTCACGACCGGCCTTTTGAGTTAGCCATTCTTGGTTTTCAGTGTGACTACTCTCACTTGCTCATCAGAACCGGGATGAAGTTCGATGACGCGCCCCATAGCCTACCGTCCTGGAGGTAAGTTGTCTTCGTGGACGAGCACGACGTCGTTGATCTTGATATTTTTTTGTTCTCTTTGCCACTTACTGCGTACATTTAGTTGGGTCAAGTACTCTGAACGCCATCATTTCCATATGTCGTTATACATTTTTTGACAAAGGTACCATCTTGTTCGTAGATCTTGCTCTGTATCAAATATCGTCAACACAGGTCCACTTGCTAGGAAGTGTGCTGGCGTCAAATAGTCCAGGTTGTCTGGGTCTTCATTCATGGCGCACAATGGTCTTGTATTTAAGCAGCCTTCTAGTTGGTACAGTATGGTGGTGAACTCTACGTAGAGTCAGTCTCTGTTCACCAATGACGCGTTTCAGGTGATATTTTAGACTTTTAACGGCCGCTTCCCATAACCCGCCTGCTGAGGGCCAGGAAGGAGCGTTAAAATGCCACTGTATGTGCATTTCTGTGATCTCTTGCATTAACTCCGGATTATCTTGGTTGATGGTCGATATAATTTCTTGGTATTCTTATGTTAGAACTCTGCTTGCTCCGACGAAGTTGGTGCCATTGTCACTATAAATGTGACTTGGCGTTCCCCGTCTGGCAGCCATCCTCTTCAAAGCCGCTAAGAATGATGACGTCGTTAGGTCCGATACTAGTTCTAAGTGCACGGCCTTGGTTGCCATGCACACGAACACCGCTACATATCCCTTGGTACACTTGGTGCCTCGTCCTTTACTGCCTTTGATCATGATGAAGCCGGTATAATCCAATCCTGTGTGAGAAAACGGGCGAGATGGGTTACTTCTGGCACTAGGTAGGTCACCCATGAGTTGATGTTGCTTGCTTGTTCCAAACCGTCGGCATCTCACACACTGTCGTAAGCGCTTCTTAGTAGCCCTGTTGCCCCCCTACTATCCAATACTGCTGACGAATAAATGATGCTGTTAATCTTGGTCCCCCGTGAAATGTAAGACTATGGGCTTCATCTATGATCAACTCCGTAAGATGGTTGCGTGTGGAATAATGATTGGGTGCTTCATTTCCATGCTTATCTGCGCGTTTCTCAGTCTACCACCAACTCTTAGAACGCCTTTTTCATCTAAATAAGGGTGTAAGTTTACTATCTTGCTCTTGGTATTCACGCTCTGTTTTGTCTTGAGATCTTCTATCTCTTACGAAAACTCTTCTTGCTGAACATGCTTGATTATTTTTTGCTTTGCTGCTCTGACTTCTTCTAGTGTTAAGTATGATGGCATCTTAATTTTTGTTCTTGTAATGTTTATGAAACGGTATGCCCAGGCTACGACGCGGATTAGTTTATTGAACTTACTGTATTTCTTGATAATT